TCTTGGGAGAGCATTTGTAGACTAGTTCGTCCTCTATTTACTAATACTTTTATTATATATTTTATGTAAAGCATGCACGGTCACAACTCTTGTGGGAAGAGAGTGGAGACAACTGTAAGTAAGATTATCCTTCTTTGTTTTCAGATCTATCCTTCTCCATGCTGGTCTGGACTGTGGCCTACAGGCCTAAATTATGGGCTTTCATGCCCTGTGGCTTCCAGTTAGGTTTGGCTAATAAGAAATCATGGTAAGAGATCAGAGGAAAGAAGGAGAATGTTGTATGGCATTATTTCCTGGCTTCCTCCTTGTCTGTCTTGATTAACATAGTTGTATGCTTGTTTTTATTTTAAACCTCTTCTTCTTTTCTTAAAAAAAATTGTTTATTGAATTTTATTGAATTTAATTAATCGATTTATTTTAATTTGGCCAGAGAGGAGGAGGAGAGAGAGAGAGAGAGACAGAGAGAGAGAGAGAGAAAGCAAGCCACCAGATCTGGGACTTGAACCACAGTTGGTCATGTGGAAGTCCAACACTCTTGACTACCATGCCACCTGCCAGCTCTAGCATAGCTATAGTTTTGATGTAGGTTTGAAATTGTATAGTTTTAGTCTGCTTTTCTTTGTTCTTTTTCAAAATTTGTTATTATCGATCCTTCGCATTTATGTATATACTTTTAGGATTAGCATGTCAATTTCTTTTTTGTTGGAGAGGTTTTTGCTACATGGTGTGTGCGCTTGCTAGAGAGACAGAGAGCGGCAGAGAGACAAAAAGCGAGAAATCACTCCCCAGGGGGGATGGTCACGCCGCAATCCCGTCTCCTCCATTCTCCTCTCGGGATCTTGGGCACGTATGCACATGCGCCCGGTGTGAGTTTTAAGTCACCGGGTCTGGGACTCGAACCGTGGTCGACTACGTGGGAGTCCAGTGACATAGCCGTTACGTCAACTACTGGTCCCTACAAAATAGATTTCTAAATATTTTTTTTTAAGAGAGATATTCGCAGGAACCAGCAGTTAGCGCAATGGCTATGTCACTGGACTCCCACGTAGTCGACCACGGTTCGAGTCCCAGACCCGGTGACTTAAAACTCACACCGGGCGCATGTGCATACGTGCCCAAGATCCCGAGAGGAGAATGGAGGAGACGGGATTGCGGCGTGACCATCCCCCCTGGGGGGTGATTTCTCGCTTTCTGTCTCTGTCTCTTTCTGTCTGTCTGGCGAGTGCACGCGCCCTATAGCGAAAAACCGCTCCAAAAAAAAAAAAAGAGAGAGATATTCGCTATAGGGTGTATGCTCTTGCTGGAGAGACAGAGAGACAGAAAGCAAGAAATCACATGCCTCTCCCAGGGGAATGGCCACATCTCAACCTCATTTCTTCCATTCTCCTCTCAGGATCTTGGGCTCGCATGTACATGTGCCTGGCATGACTTTAAAAAAAATTTATTTATTTTTAATATTTTTATTATTCATGCATTAAATTGCTATACATCATTTAGATTGTGAAGAGACTTTACCCAGCATGATATACACCTCAGTCTAGCCCAGTTGAGACTATTATACACATCCTTTTCAACAGTGTCTTACCTCTCCATCCCCCCCAAATTTCCTTTCCTACACTCTTCCCCTCCCACACTCTCTTTCCACTTTATCTCTAGTGTCCATTACAATTTTTAATATTTTTATGTT